AGGCAGGCAGGGGGGACAAAGACTTTCGCCCCCGCCAGCCTTCAGAAGAGGTCCTGGACCTCTTCTGAAGGCTGGCGGGGGGCGAAAGTCTTTGCTCCCCCCCCCGCCTGCCTTCAAAAGCCCTCCGGGACAGCGGAGAAACGCGCTGCGTTTCTCCGCTCTCCCGGGAAGGCAGGCAGGGGGGAGCAAAGACTTTTGCCCCCCGCTGGCCTTCAGAAGAGGTCCTGGACCTCTTCTGAAGGCTGGCGGGGGCGAAAGTCTTTGCTCCCCCTGCCTGCCTTCAAAAGCTGACCGGCCCAGGCTTCGCGGACCTCTCCGCAAGCAGCGGCAGCACTGCCGCTGCTTGCGGACAGGTGCCAGCATGCCGAAGCCTGGGCGCGCCGAGATCAGCGCGCCCAGGCTTCCCGCCCCGCCGCCCGGGATCGGGGCATCGTCCCGATGGCGGGCGGCGGGGGGAGGCGTCCCCCCCCCGCCGCCCGGGATCGGGGCATCGTCCCGATGGCGGGCGGCAGGGGGAGGCGTTCCCCCCGCCGCCCGGGATCGGGGCATCGTCCCGATGGCGGGCGGCGGGGGGAGGCGTTCCCGCCCCACCGCCCGGGATCGGGCATCGCGCGCGGAGCCTGGCTCGGGCGGACATGGCTGCGGGCGGACATGGCGAGCTGGGCGGGACTCGGGCGCGCGCTGGGCGCCTGCTGCCTCCTGGGCCTCTTCTGCGGCGCTGCGCTGCCCTTCTCGCTGCAGGGCGCGAACGAGAAAGCGCCCGCCTCCCTCCCACGGCACACCAGGTAACGTCTCGCGGCACACTAGTGTGCCGCGGAACACCGGTTGGGAAACACTGCTGTAAACTGACTTAGACAGGGGGTGGGGGTGGCTCTATATGAAAAAGTGGGATTAGAAATTTCTAAAACAAATAAATGAAATAAGGAGGCAGGACAGATAAAAAATAACTTGCTTTGCAGAAATGTTATGCTGTTTCAGTTGCTATCTGATTATTTCTTTAATACCATTTTCTGTCCTACAGGATCAACTAGGTCATTGGAAATTAAAATGGACTCTAATCATGACTGGATTCTGGCACACTTACATGGGAATAAGCTCCATTGAAAACAGAGGCTCTTACCTCTGAGTGCTGAAAATGTCAAAAGGAGAAATCTTCACCAAGTACAGTGCTGTTGATCATGGGTTTTAAGCTTCCTGATGTATCTTCTGCAGTGAACTTGGAAGTTGCAGCTAAAATGGGGAAAGGTTTTCTGACAGATGCTCATGCTGGGGCCTTCTCTACAAAAATGCATTTTAAATGTGAGGAAGAAGAGAGGACACAACACAGAGAAGTGCTATGTGAACCTCTCCCAGCTGTTCTACGGATCCCCTCCAAATCCAACCTGCTAATCCAGGCTTCACCAATCTGGTGCCCTCCAGCTGTTTTGGAACACAACTACCACCTGCCCCAGACAGTACAGCTGATGGGACTTGTAATCCACAACAGCTGGAGGGCATTAGTTTGACAAAGGCTGTTCTAACCCCTGGACACACCTGGATACACAGGCCTGGCCACAGTGATGCCCCAAAGCTGACTTTCTCTTGCCTCCTTCACTAGATTTTAGGGAGGGCAGGCTGCCCTCTGGGGACAATACCATTTGCTTGTTTTTCTCTCCCTATCCCAACCGCAAAGGGATATAAATTAGACTGCAAAAATAATTATAAGAAGAATGTGAATCTGTGTCTCTTCCGTGGTAGAGCCTAGACTGGCACTACAAGTGGAAGTTGGCCCCAAATCCCACAAAGGTACCATGCAAAAATCCTACTATGCCAACTAGAATGGTGTACCCAAAGGGCTTGCACAATTTAATAAATAGTGACAGAACAAATGAGAGTTCATTTCTCAGGGAGCTCACCTGAATCTGAGAAGCAGTGCTTCTCTACTCCTCTGGGCAGGGTCAGCCCCCAAATATATGAAGCCCCCTCCTAGGCAATGAACATCTATCTGAATTTTGTATGAAGGAAGAGATGGAGGATTACAAGAAACAGTAAGCACAATTCTGTAGGCCCAACATAAGATGAGAGGGGGCATATTAGTGGACCCAAATGGGCCTTGAAGCAGATACAAACTGAAGCAGATGCAAAAAAAAAACCAAACAAAAAACAAAACCCTCAATGGCCTCCAGTCCATAGTCTACATAAAGCCTTATTGAGAAAAGGCTTAATCTGTTACACGTCATAGCCCTGCTCTGCATTCTGGAAGAAACACAGGAAGAACATCAGTCTCCCCTGCTGTGTCTTTGCAAACATATCTAGCACAGCAACATAGGAAGCTACCTTATACAAAGTCAGACTATCCAGTTTAGCATTGTCTACACTGACCGGCAGCATCTCTCTGGGGTCTCAGACAAGGGTCTTTCCTATCTGGAGATGCCAGAAATTGAAGATGTGCCCTTTTGCATGCAAAGCAAGTGCTCTACCACTAAGCTATCGCCCTTTGGTAGAAATGGGCCCATTATTTAACTTGAATCACAGTGCCATGGGTTGCCTCTTGCAGCACCTCACCACAGCCCACTGTAAAGCAAACATGTTTCTTTATGCCCTGACCCCTTGGGGCTAAGTCTCTGACTTTCACAACCCCAATGGCCCAACAGAACTTTATCTTCCTCCCTTGTCTACACTCTGTTTTTTAGAAGCAAGTGATATGGCTTCCTTACTTCTTTGAATTCACTTCTATGGGTATCATTGTAATGGCACAAAGTCACCTGAGTCTACCTTTTGAGACTAGGAATGGATCCTATTGCCAATATTTACATCTTGAGACAAATGGGCCACACATATAGTATCTCTCCCCTACTGTGTTTTGCAAATTTTCAATTCAGAGGCTGTGTTTTTTAACAACTCTGTGTTTGGCAACAGCCACATGATCACACAACTGCAACTAAACAGGTTCTACTGTTTCCATTTACAGCAAGAATGGAGAACTGCAGCCTGGGGGGCTGCATGTGGCTCTCCAACACCTCTCTATCTGGCCCTTGTAACTCTCCCCAGACAATGCTTCTCAATGCAGCTTTGTCTGGCTAGAAAATGTCCTTGAACTGTGGTCATAAATCTTGTTTGGCTGAATAGTGGCTATGTGCATGGGTGGGTGGGTGGGTGCAAAACCCTTGTGACTTTTGTGTGGCTGGAATGCAGCCTGCTTTTAAGAGTCGCATGCATTGTTGCACAAACTTTTGCCTCTGGTCCTTCCCAACCCCCCAGAAATTTGACCATGAGGGAAAGCAGCCCTCAGGCTAAATTAAATAAAAGAAAAATCATCCACTAATATTTTCTATTATATTTATCTTAGTTAATAAAAGACAACGCTTTCTTATTAATTAGGTTGGTTCCCCTTTAAGGGAATGAGCCTGTGGTCAGCTCTAGAGAAAAACTATAGAACAACACAAAGTGGAAAGGAGAGCTAGTAGTTTCAGTTAAGAGACCCCTGGTTTGCTGCCAAGTTCAGAGATGCTCAAACACAATATAAATAATGCTACTTCATCATTATTAATTAATTAATTATTATTATTATTATTATTATTATTCATTATCTATATAAGGCCATCAATGTGCATGACCCTCTACAAAGTACAAGAAAACAAGCACCTGCCCCACAGAGCTTACAATCTAAAAACAAAAGGTTAGGTCTTACTTTATAGTAGTTGAATGGGTGCCACCCACTGTGGCTAATTCCCATATTGACACAGAAATGGAGGATACGTGATCTCACCTCTCTCAAATAGTTCCTCCACTCCCCAGAGCAGCATGGGAAGTAGCCATAGGTGAGATGCTACCAGGACAAAAAAGACAGCTCCCCAACCACGTTCTTGGCTAACGCAGTTCTGCCCTCACAAACAAGCTCTTGCTGCAACAGCCGTAGTTCTGTGCTCAAGCATTACATATACTTTTTCCATCAGTCCAAACCCTACTGACCCTGCACTCTTCTGTATCATTCAGGTGGTAGGTCTCTTCCACTCACTGCTGCTATACTTTGAGCTCTACCCGCTGCAGTATTCCAGTCTTTGATTCTTTTTCAAATGAACACAGTGAAGATGATGCTCTTTAAGCCTCGCTATTCTCACCCTGTCAACTTTTAGCCCTGGGCTCCTCAAGAGCTATCTACAACTTGGACAGCAAGAGCCGATCCTGAGAAACTATGTTCTGTCCAATTTTCACTTCTTTCACAGACTCTCATGCTTTTTTGGGGGGAGCGGGGGGGTTGGATTTCATCCACAATTGTTCATATAATCTAGGCTAGGTAAACCAAAATCTATTTGAAGTTGAATCAGGGTGAAGAGCTGAATAACGAAACACCTGGCGTTGGCCTCCTTCATTCTGTAACCTGCAAATGTCATAAGCCTTTGAATCTTAAGATACTGAGTCTCAAGACAAGTGGTGTAGAAAAACACACCTGCCATCAGCCCACCGGGTCTTGAGCCAAATCTCTCCTGCCTGTCTCTCTTTCCTTAGCATGAAGCAGCTGCGGTGGTGGCCTACCTTGGTGAGAGTCCATTTTGGAGGCAATTCACTTAAGATAATCAGATGCAATAAGAGGAAAGAGCTCTCGTAACCTTGGCATTAAAAGGGGGAGTGGATTTTGGCAAGTGTTACCTTTTATCACCCTGCAGCACTGTAATGGGGCAAGGGTTACCTGCCAAAATGCCATCTCCTTCATATCTATGAAAGGAAGAGGAACCCCATCCTTTTCTGCAACCTGATCATCAGACGGAAAAGCCACAGAGCAGGCTCCGGCACTGCATGTGGCAATGGGGCACGTCATGGCGACCACTGGTGCCAAAGGTTTTATGAACTTTGCTGTAGCCTTGTGATACCTTTCGAGTCCAACCCTTCGCCCCAGTCATGGATGGGTTAATGTTGCACAGGTACAAGCTGGCATGGGATCAGGGAGCAGAAAGAAGGGGGCAGGGTGGGGAAAGGAAGAAGGATGGAGAGGGACAGATGGAGATGGAATTACCACTCACCTTGCATCGGCTTCACTGTAGTATTCCCTGGCAACAATGTCTTCAAAGAGCTCCCCACCCGTGACCCTGAAATAGAACGCAGATCACAGTTCAAGCAAAGTTTGAAAATATGAAAAAGCGCCCCTTGAGGGCAAACTGCTACAGCCCAGCTGGTCCTGAAAGACCAGAGGAGCTTGCCAGAAGTTCTAATTTTCTAGATCCCTTTTCCGAAACACAGACTTGGGATGAAACTGCCACCTGTTCTGCTGGAGAAATTATCATCGGGGCCACTGACTGTAGTCAGCAGGACTGGGCTTCCTGGCAAGGTCCACTGGTGACCTTGGAGTCTCCAGGTCTTCTGTTGTTACTGTCTGTCCTCTCTGAGCAAGCAAACGAGACAGAGGAGGTGTAGCAGCATCCCCCACTTGCCTCCCTCTATCTCTTTGGATAACTTGCCTCCTGATCTGGGCCAAGGACAAAGGGTCGACGGTGTGGAAGCATTTTGCCCAAAGTTCCCCAAATTCTGGAACCAACCAGATGCTCATACGTGGCAAAGACCTAGGTGATCTGCTCTTCCCATATACTGCCAATTGAATAGTCTGCCATTTTAAGACACCGAGAAATATAAGCAACGAAGGCCAGTGCTGACAACATTTTGGAAGAGGCAAGTAAGAATGGTGAAAGACAAAAGGGGCACTTATGGCAGGAGTTTGTTACCAGGTTGATTACACAGATCACTGCTCATCAAATTTGGGGGTAAGAGGAAGAGGAATGCTTTTAGTTTACAGTACATACTCTCATTTTGAAAATTAAGCACTGGGCAATGTACTCCCTTGTCATCACCCAGGACCATGTGAGCGCCGCTGATTGGGCCTCTTCAAACAAAGAGCACAAGGACCAAAGCATGGAGCAATTTGCTCCGTCTGCCTTCCTAAGCTGTGTACTGTTTCATTTCCACGCTGTTGCTGCAGCTCTAAATCTTGTTCTCTCTCCCACCCACACAGAGCTACAGATGTAATGCTTGCAACCCGCTACTTCCCTCTGTGCTGCCAATCACCTGACTACGAGGAGCTCGTGTTGCCTCCTGTGTGAGAGCCAAGAGAACACCACCATGGATTTGCAGGGCAATTTTTTTTTGTTACAGCTGCCTCTTCAACAGCCACCTCTTTCCATTCCCTTCTTCCGTGCAATCCCCCTCAAAATACAGCAATGTCTGCAAACTGGAGACTACCCCAAAGTAGTTCAGATTCTCTTTCATCTCTCACTTTCGCCTAGATTCTCACCTCTATAGTTAACTTCGGGTTTGACATTGCTAATTTGAAATGGGAGAAAACTTAAGTCCTCAAGAAGCTTTGACAAGCCATTCTTGAGACTGCCATGGTAATGTGAGAAGTTTTTCTGTATGTCTGTTCAAAAGGAAAAGAATCTAGGAGCAGCTCTGCATATAGATGAATTTATTATAAGAGACACATGTATATAAGCACAATATTATGATATTGTCGCAGTGATGGCTAGCAGGAAGAGGCCTGTGACAAAATGATAATTTGGGAAGCTGCTCAACAAGCTGGAAGGCTACACTGCTTAGTATTGGGATATGCTGAGCATCTGCACTTCTCAGATATTTCAGCTGGCTTTAGAGGAGCAAGCTTGAGAAGCCTAATGATGGATATCAGCTCAAATGCACTCAACATTCAGGAGGCCCTTTAGATGAGGGATGGCTAGCAAGGAAAGAAAAACAGTCAGCTGAAAAGTATCCTTCATTTTCAGCAAGGCAAACCAGATTTGGAAGCAACTGTCAGCCATAGCACTTGAGCACTGAATTCTTCCACAACCCATGTGGTTCTCCCAATGACAGGAGTGGAGGAACTTTTCAAGTCCAAGGGCCACATTCTCTCTGGGGCAACCTTTTAGGGGCCACCTGCTGGTGGTAGGGGCAAAAGTGGGCCAAGCAATGAACGTGAATTTTACTTATGTACAATAAACTAGTTTCTACACAAACTCTCTACGCTCCATCTGGGCAAGCAAAAAGAAATGTTCCAGCCAGCAAAAACATGTAAAGAGGATACAAAGCAGGTCTAGAGGAGATGGGTGGCCTGGCAAAGAGGAGGCGGCCTGAGGAGAGTGCCGAGGGCCAGATAAATTGGCATGAAGGGCCGCATTCAGCCCTGGAACTGAGGCTCCCCATCCTTGAGCTATGAGAAAAATGATCATATGAACCCACTCCGTACTGGAGGCTCACGCTCAATATAAAAAGGTAAAGGGACCCCTGACCATTAGGTCCAGTCGTGACCGACTCTGGGGTTGTGGCGCTCGTCTCGCTTTATTGTCCAAGGGAGCCGGCGTACAGCTTCCGGGTTATGTGGCCAGCACGTTCAATACAGAATATCAATAAAGACAGAGCAGGATACAAATAAGGTAGAGGACAGGTATCCAGTGCTTTTTTTCTGGGGGATGGGGGGGACGCATACCCCTAAACATTTTGTGAATCTAAGTTTGGCCTATTTGAGGGGCAGTATTTCAATGAGTAGGAAAAAGAGAGAGTACCCCTAAACATTTTTTTTTTTTTGGAAAAAAAGCACTGCAGATATCTAAAACTGTTTCCAGACAATAGTTTTACAGGACAGGTAAATGCAGTGCACATGTTCCAGCAAACAGGTCAAGGGTATGCAAAGGCCAGCACTAGCCCAGCAGGCTGCATGGCCATTGTTACAGTACTGTAATAGCTCAACATGTCTGTTTCACTGGCATCTTGACCTTCTTGTGAAAGAGATGAGCTGAGTATAAGAATTTGTTGTATGGGTGTGTCCTGAGTAGTGCAAATGCGCTTCAGGAATAAGCAGCAGCTACCAACACCACGTGGGACGTGGGTGGCACTGTGGGTAAAAGCCTCAGCGCCTAGGGCTTGCTGATCGAAAGGTCGGCGGTTCGAATCCCCGCAGCGGGGTGCGCTCCCGTTGTTCAGTCCCAGCGCCTGCCAACCTAGCAGTTCGAAAGCACCCCCGGGTGCAAGTAGATAAATAGGGACCGCTTACTAGCGGGAAGGTAAACGGCGTTTCCGTGTGCGGCTCTGGCTCGCCAGAGCAGCGATGTCACGCTGGCCACGTGACCCGGAAGTGTCTCCGGACAGCGCTGGCTCCCGGCCTATAGAGTGAGATGAGCGCACAACCCTAGAGTCTGTCAAGACTGGCCCGTACGGGCAGGGGTACCTTTACCTTTACCTTACCAACACCACCACTCCATTTGATGCTTGTCCCAGGTTTACTGATTTTCGTGTCTAACAAAAGCTGACCGAGGAAGACCCATGTTGGGCTGCTAGCGTTGTAAGAAAGTATGACTGTGCATTTTACTCAAAAGTAAGTCCCACTGAGTGCCACATGATTTACCCCCCAGTGAATGAGCAGAGGATGCCACCTGAGTGACTCTGTCTAAGAAAGAGGTTATGGAAGAGAATGGAATTAATATTAGCAGAGGTTACAGTGAGGAAGCAAGTGTGGGTTTAAAGTCCCCTACCCCCACCACTCCGGTAATGCTGAGTTCCATAAAAAAAGGGAGCAATCTGTTATCTTTGTTCTTGAATAGCAAGGTATACCGCCCTCCAATGTTTCAAACACCCTCAATGGATGATCAAAGCCTCCCCATTCTGCCCAGCTTTCAGCTTCATTCTGCATATACCAGGAATTGCTTGATATTCACGGAATCAAGTCTTGAGCCTATAAGGTCTCGGAAAGCACATGTAAAACCGTAACAACCCACACAGCAGCTGGCCCAGTCCACAGCTGGGTCCTCAAGTGTCCTTTGCCATGTGGCCCGGGGGATGTAAACCTGCATTTTACTTTCAATCCTCCCGCTGCAGGCAAGGGACATACCAAGGTCTGTGTGACTCCAGCAAAAGACAAGCAGGAGCTGCACTGACTCAGAGAAGAGCTAAATATAGCTCACTGCCTAACTGGAGCTGTCAGGGAAGAGAAGAGATGAGATCACCAGCTTCTATATCTGGAATGAAGTGAGAGGCAGCCGAGCAAAGCACACAATGTCTCCACAAGCCCCCAGACACTTTGCAAAGGCAGTCGGCACAGGACATGGCCTACAGCCATCCTGACAAAAGGAATGGGAAGAAGGACAGGCCAACATCGCTGTCTGGAGCCCTGGAGCCAACAGAGCCTTTAAAACTTATGCGGGTCTTAGTGGGCATGTCTCTGGCTAAGCAGCTGTTTAGCTACTCTGGGCATAGTGTGTCAGGGGCACTGAGTCACCCCCATCATTCTGATATCCTTCCTCCTTCTCATCACCCTCCCCTTCGTGCTAATGGAATAGCTGCAGCTGCAGCCTTCTTCTCCACCCCCCTCCCCGTGAGGATGCCACAGCCTGCTCAATTCCCCTAGCAGCACACAAAATTTATTCAGAATTATAACTGTATAATTCTGTATACCTGTATAATCCTTCAGTATACCTGAAGGAGCGTCTCCAGCCCCATCGTTCTACCCGGACACTGAGATCCAGCACCGAGGGCCTTCTGGCGGTTCCCTCACTGCGAGAGGCGAAGCTACAGGGAACCAGGCAGAGGGCCTTCTCGGTAGTGGTGCCCGTCCTGTGGAATGCCCTCCCATCAGATGTCAAAGAAATAAACAACAATTGGACTTTTAGAAGACATCTGAAGGCAGCCCTGTTTAGGGAAGCTTTTAATACTGGATAAATCATTGTATTTTAATATTCTGCTGGAAGCCGCCCAGTGTGGCTGGAGAAACCCAGCCAGATGGGCGGGGTATAAATATTATATGATGATGATGATGATGATGATGATGATGATGATGCAGGGGAGGGGGGAAACTATCCAGAGTGTGCCACCAGGAAGGGGACAATCAGTGGCAACTATGATGCTGTGCTGGAGAAGTGGCGGGGGGCGGGGTTAGTATTTTAAAGCAGAGAAATTCCAGGTTAAGTTCAGTAGGGGTCTGGGTGAGCTACTGGGCAGGGACCTCAAGTGCAAGAATAGAGCATATAGTGATACAGTCACAAGGGATTTCCTACTTACAGATCAAAGACGAGGTAGTGGAAGCCTTCCTCAGATATGCTATCATGGAGGCGAACTGCAAAGGAACACAAAACGATACATTACATACCTGCAATTTTCCTCCTCTGCCTTAAAACATACATTACACAAAGTACATAATAAGGTCTCACGGGCACACAGCCCATGTATAGCAGCAAGGTGGCAGTGTGATGAGGCCCAGGTAACAGGCCCTTCATCTGAACATAACTGTGAGGATTATCTCAAAGCATTTAGATCACTTAGAATGCAAGATCTTCCTTTCCACAGGCTCCTTCCCCTATCCAGCATATTGCTGCCACACTGCCACAAGTCCCCAGGAGCACAGATTTATAATACAGGGGGAGAGGGAGAAAACAGACTGGGATATACTAGTAGATTGGTTTTCAGTAAATCAGCAAGGATTTCTGACTCCAAATTGTTTAACAACAGGAACAACAAAATCACACACACACTTAGAGTTCAGACAACACTTGGATAATCAGGAACGGATATTTATGTGAAATGAAGGGCTGTGGTCTCAGTTCATTTCTAATACTCAAAACAAATTGCAATCTCCAATGCAATTCCTGATCTACAGCAGGCACTTGCCTGCCCATAAACCTGTTTCTGAGCCAAACTTCTGCAAACCAGCTGGGCAAAAATTAGGTAATAAGTTAAGAAGATAAGACAAGACTTCCTGGATTAGACTAAATACTCATCTAACCCAGTATTCTGCTTCCGGCAGTAGCCATCCAGATGGTTAGGAGGAGTTTCTAAGCGCAGCCTTCTCTTTGTATCCGGTATACGTTCATCACTGCACCTGAACACTGGAAATTCCATTTTCAGTAGAACCATCATTGTTTGTGTGTAAGAGCTGATATACCAGGCTCTTGGGCCATGGGGCTTACAGTCTAAAATTGATGCAGGAAAACAACAGATCAGGGAGTGGGGGCTGAAGAGAGGAGTAGGGAGGAGTAGGCAGAGGGAAAACGCATGCATATTTCAATTACATGTACTTTGGCTTGGTTACAATAAAGCACCCTTCCCTCTGGATGTTTTGGGCTACAACTTCCATCAGCACTAGCCAGTGGGGCTAACGATCGAGGATTATGTAAGTTGTGGTTCAGAACATCTGGAGGTCACCAGGTTGTGGAAGGCAGTATGGAAGAAGGGCTACAGAAATGAAGGGGCAGCAATTCCAGAGGGAACAGGTAAAGGGAAGGAGAGGTTGGGCTGGGGGAGGGCAAGAAATAGGAAGGAGGGAGAGGACAGGTGGCTGCCAGAATGCTTGCAATGGGTGTCTCAAGCACAATCAGGAGTTCAAGCTGTCAGTTATCTCCCTTGAGAGTCTGGTTGGCACGCCTGCTTGGTGGGAACAAACCCAACTGAATTAAAATTCATTTATCAAGAAAGCCACGTAAAAGGTGCATAAGGTTACAGGACAATCTAAAATTTGGAGACAGGAGTCCAAAAATATTTTCTATGGAGACACACTAAAAGGTTTGGAAAACAGCTGGGTGCTTGTTTGTTTTCTAAACACAAGAAAACCATTCAACCATCTATGATGAAATTAAAATATGTCCAAGGTACTGAAGAATACATATTTTAGCAGTATAATAATGCCACTAAAACTTATGCCAGCTTAAAAATAAATAAATCTCTCGGTCATATGTTTATTTGAATGTTTGAAGTAGAAAATATTGTAGAAGATCCACAAATCTCCCATAGTACTGAAACACCTCAATAGGATGTACGGTAAGTCTCTAAACCTACATTTCCGTTCCGCAAACAAATAATAATAATAATCCATTATAAGCTAACAAAGTGGCCATGGTTGCATGTCATAGTCTGAAATGAGAAGCAGGCTGCTACATACTGCTCATATTGGACCTGCGGCTATTCTTCCCTTTAACAAGCTGAGAATAGACAGAAAATGGTGCTGGCTTACAGGTGAATCAATGCTCATGGTTTGTTTCCTTCCATGCAAACTTTGAGATGAAGCCAAGAAAAAACCTTTACTTCCTCTAAAGGTTTGGAGAGAAATTACAAGCACTGGTTCACATTTAACACTAAACCATTGCTGTGGTCCCCCCCCCCCTTCTGGTTCAGGAAACAGAGGAGCAAGGTAAACACAATTTGAGCAATATGCACCAGCACGTCCACAATAACCCATAGTTTTTTTCTGGCGCAAGTTTCTTATAAGTGCCAATCATCACGAAAAGTAATTTCTGGCTGAACGTAGAGGGACACTTAATTTTTTCCTTAATAAACACACAGCGCATCCAAATCTGCCACCCTGGGCTCCTTCAGGAGGAAGGGTGGGTTATAAATGGAATTATTATTATTGTCAGGGCCTAGGTTAAAAATGGAATGGTAGAGCAAACAAGCTCACATACTAACTAGTGGAATGAATAATAGCAATACAGTAGTCTCCCCTACGACATAGATCTAGCTATCCACAATCCAGGTATGGAACTGTTTCTTTTGGTCTCTACTAATGCTGCTTCATTTATTCATTCATTCATTCATTCTCCCAAAGGCCCAGAGGTACATTTGAAAAGACTTTACTGTAGCAAGAGAACTGGTGTGAAAATAGCGGCACTGATGGAATCTGAAACATTATTAGAGGAATTAGATGTTTTATGGCCCCTCTAGAATTATGGATGTTTATGTTTTAATGGGATTGTTTTCGCTGAGTGTGTGACTGCATGAACATGTGTGTGAGTGAAAGAGGAAGACAGTTTGTGTGCCTGCGTGTCTGGTGAGTGTCTGCGGTGTACAAGAGAGCACACATGTGCATATGCAGGTGCCATCCCCACCCCTGGTATGTGGCCTTTGCAGAGATGGCTGAGTGAGATGATAGATAGATAGATAGATAGATAGATAGATAGATAGATGATAGATAGATAGATAGATGATAGATAGATAGATAGATAGATAGATGATAGATAGATAGATAGATAGATAGATAGATAGATAGATAGATAGATGATAGATAGAGATAGATAGATAGATAGATAGATAGATAGATAGATAGATAGATAGATAGATAGATAGATAGATAGATGATAGATAGATGATGATAGATAGATAGATGATAGATAGATAGATAGATAGATAGATAGATAGAAGATAGATGATAGATAGATAGATAGATAGATAGATAGATAGATAGATAGATGATAGATAGATGATAGATAGATAGATAGATGATAGATAGATAGATGATAGATAGATATGTCTTAGTTTACAAAAATACATGCATTGTCTCTTTTCAAGTTGCATTTTCTACAGATCAGTTTCATTTGTTGTGAGACAATAGTATTACATACACTGTTAGGTTAGGAAGAAGAGAGGGGGAAAGAGGGGAGGGGAGAATGGTGAGTGGGGTGGGGTCAGGTGGCAATGCTTCTGTTCTTTTACTTAGTGTTATGTACACGGTTTTGAGTCAGCGTCACTTGTGTGAGTTCTCTTACTATTCACTTGTTGTATTTTCTTAGTGGTGAGAGAGGTTGTAGGTGGCCTAGGATGTGGTTGGTTGTCTTTGATTGGCTGTAGTGAGATTTGTTTTTGTGTGTGAGTGTGAGAGTGTGTGTGTATGTGTGTGTGTTTGGATCAGGTTAGCCAGATTGATTCACATGCTGTCGGTGGATTCTTGTTGTTGTCTTGTTGGACTGTGTATGTGATAAAGGGGAGCCATACGAGGGTGAAGGTGTCTTCTTATATTTGTCCCCATGTCAGTTTCAGTTGATTGGTTAGTTTTTCTAATAAGGCTGTTTCCCATACTATTTGATACCTTTGGTCCATGCTTACTCCTGACAGGTCTCTCCAGTGTCTGGCTATGATGCTTCTGGCTGCTGAGAGTAAGTGGGCTATGAGCTTTTTATGATGTGAGTGGGCATTATTATCTTGGAAGATGTTCAGTAGAGGAGTGGCTTATTTATGTTTGTGTCATTGGTTTCATACTTGTAAACTGCTTAGAAGTCTCTATGCACTAAGAGGTATATAAATAAATACATTTATTGTCATCTTCTTCCACCTGCTTTCTTCCACCTGCCTTGCCCCACAATTGGCTTGCAATTGTTTTATTGATTGTAATTTCGAAATTATTTATTGTAATTGTTAAGAGTGGGTTTCTGTTTAAATTTTTATATGCTGATATTATTACTCTAAACTATTCTAATGATTGTTGAATGTTAGCTTTAAGATAAGCAATCTACATCAAATAAAGTATATCTTATTATCACATTTTTGTATTGCATTAGATTGTTATAAGGTGTACGGTGTACATTCTTTGTTTCTTCAGCTTGTAAACGCCTTGAGTATTGTAAGATAGAAAGGCGGTATACAAATTAAAAGTGATCATCATCATCATCTGCACTCCTTAGATGTTCAGCCCTGGGTATGTAGGTTAGATAGAAGGGGAGACTCAGACGGATGAAATTGATGGACTATGCAGAACTGGATATATTAACAGGGAGGATTCGAAACCTGCGGGACCAGAGATTCTTAGAAGGCTGGAGTAAATATACGAACTATTTGAAAAGCAATTGTAATGAACAGATTACGCTAGTAGGACTGCAAGAAGTTTTGTAAGGAGGACTATCTGAAATATTGCAAGAAAGACTATGAGGAGAATTACTAGTTAATGATAATTAAGAGTAATAGAGAAATTAAGAAATGCAAAATAAGTGATAGAGAACGGAAAAGAAGTTATGTTATATGATAGTTGGAAATGATATGTTAAAAAAACTAATTAAAGAGTGTGTGTGTGTATGTGTGTGTGTGTTCCTTCACAAGGAAACCGCCCCATTACACTTCCTTCCTTCATGTCGTGAAAACAGAAATGTCAAACCCATTGAAATAGAACATGAGATACAGAACCAGGCCAAACGATTTTGCTGGCTAAAGGGAAAGAACAAAGGATGCCCCCCTCCCTCAGTTAAGTTGCATTGCACCCGAGTCTGACCAAGATATTTTGGTACCTGAGGCAGAAAGTCCAGCAAGTGTGTCTCCCTGGGAGTAAAAACATAATCATAGTAAATTAAATAGCTAAGATTTTACTGCCTTTTCATTATACCCAAAATCAGTTGCCTTAGGCAACTCTCTCACTGTGCTTACTGATGGGACTGACCCTGCATAGATGTGAAGCTCTCTTATGTCATTCAAAGAGAAGGGGAACAGGAAACATTGCATAAAATGAATGAAGCCCTTTTTCTTCTCAGAACTGTGGGTATCTTTTCAGACTGAAGCACTTTAATGTTAGATTGAACTTCCCTGCAAAGTGGAACTGGCATGAGAAAATGTGTGTGGTGCTAAATATCCTTTCCGCTCTCCTCGAAAGGTCAAGATCCAGCCCTCCTTAAGGGAAACAAAATTCATGGGCTTTTGAGACCTGGTTCTTTTTCTGTGCTTCAAGACATGTTGTTCCTCACCAGAACAAGGCTAATTAAACAAAAAGGAGGGGGAGGAATTATTTGCAAATGAAATACCACATCTCCAAAAGTTCTTTGCAGATGAGGAGAAAACATCTAGCAAGACAAACAAATACAGGGCCAATGCTTATAAATAGGATTTGATTCTGCCAAAATATGACTACTACTCAGTCTCTGCATTGAAATTCATGCAGGATGATGCCTCAGTTTGAGGGCCAGATCCCACAAAACAACTGCACCAAGAGAGCAAATCCAAGAGAGTGTAGAATATCTACAGCACAGATTTAACACTTATTCAATAGTCATTCCTTTCCCACAGGGAATCCTGGGAAATGTGTGAGAAGGGCTAGGGACCTTGAACAGAGAGCACCCTCACCAAAGTACAATTTCCAGGGTACTTTGGAGGAAACAAATTTACAGATGTGTGTTTGTACTGCAGAGATGACTGGACAGCAGGCATTCCTAAGAGATGGGATACTCAAGTGAGCCTAATTCACACCACCGAAGGAAAACCTGAATGCAGAGCATTTAGGGAGAAAGAGTGGCAATATTCTACAGAAAAGGGACGCGAATGGCGCTAGGACTTGCCAATCAGAAGGTCAGCGGTTCAAATCCCCGCGACGGAGTGAGCTCCTGTTGCTCGGTCCCTGCTCCTGCCAACCTAGCAGTTCAAAAGCACGTCAAAGTGCAAGTAGATAAATAGGTACTGCTCTGGTGGGAAGGTAAATGGCGTTTCCATGCGCTGCTCTGGCTCTCCAGAAGTGGCTTAGTCATGCTGGCCACATGACCCGGACATGACATGCTGGCCACAGCTGTACGCCGGCTCCCACGGCCAATAAAGCGAGATGAGCGAGATCTAGAAACAGGTCAGTGAGGGCTTGGCATACTCAGTAGCCACGGAAAGCTGACTTTGGTGGAGGGGGAGAGAAAAGGGCGCAGTTGGTTAGCTGGCACCCTCAGCAGAAGTCCACATTCCAACATTTTGTTACAGGTCCAATTGCTCTTTCGTAAGTATCATACTAACTCGGCAATAATATTCAGTAAACTTACTCAATAAGACAATATAGCATTAAGTCCACAGGACAGGAGAACATTATGTGCAGGAGACTGAACGCAGCATTATACTTCCCTCCCTGAAATGTCTTCACTTTGTTTTTAGTGCAAACAAACTGGAGGTTAAAAAAGCACTCCCTAGGATCAAACAAAACCAGCTGGTTTGCCTAGCTGCATGAATGTGTCATCATGCTAAAGAAAAAGGAGGGAGTTAAGCCACATGGACAATGTTTGCTTTAACCTCTTGGGGGGGTCAGCAAAACACTAAGCATTGCCCCACTGCCGCTCAGCACTGCCAATCAACACAAAATGTAAGGCGCATACTTTTGTATTATACTGTAGGTGGGAGATTCTGGCTCCTGTTTTGCGTCACTGAATGACTATAAGTGATCAAGGAAGAGTTGTCACCTCTCCTAGCAACTGTTTGCACCTTCTTATGAAAGCCTGCCTCACTTTACCACAGGGCTTCAAATAATTAGCTGGTGATATATGCCTAATAGCTTCCTTAAATCCTTTAGAACAATCCCATCGTGAAGGCAGAAGATCCCCGCATCATGCACAGAAAACGGATGTCTCCGTATGGACACATGCATCTTCCTTTCGCAAACTCCCCACTGCACAAAGCCCATGTACATCCTGCACACCTCACCAAGACTTCCACGCCGTGGCATCTGCTCCAGCTCCATTATATAACAAACTGGTTTTTCATTTTTCTTTTGCACTTGTGTCTGTCTCTAAACCTACCTAGAAGGTGCCCATGACGACATTGTTTCCATAGAAACTAATGTACTTCAAAGGGAGAAAAACAGAGGACTAAAAAAAGGACCAAAAAAAAAGAAGGGATTCAAACAAAATGACTGGAATAAACAGACTGCACACTGGAGCGGGTGAGAGGGGTGTCATAGTCTTAATTAGCCAGTTGTTTGAGAAGGAAAGACCTGCCTAACATGCTGCTTACTGAAACTCTTGCTCTATCATCTTTGCTGATGTCAGCAACTGCAGTGGGCTTGCAAGATTACCTAGGGGTGCATTGAAACCAGCAGGGTTGAGGGGGTGTGGGATTGAGCAATCAGTTGTGCAACAAGAATGTGCAGTCCACAACCCATACCAGCAGTTGTTGCTGGTTTTTTATTCCTCAAATTTTATTTCCCACTCAGGTTGGTGTATGTAGATGTGATTACTCCATGTTTACCCTCCTAACAACCTTGTGGTGTAGGCTAGGCTGAGAAAAAGAGGATCAACCACAATTTGACCCTGACTTGAGATTATGGTTTATTAACTCACTGTGGTTTGTATACACCATCAGTAGCTTTGCCAAGTTTCTGCAGCCATGTCAAAATTCCTCACAGGGCAAATAATAATAATAATAATGCAAAACTAGCCATGTTTTGTGAATAAGAGTAGGGATCAGGAACCTGTTGCCCTCTAAACGCTGCTGGATTTAAACTCGAATCATCCCTGACCATTGACAATACTGGCTGGGGCTGATGGGACACTTGTTTCCATGCCTGAAATAAAGCATGCTACGTAAGTGGAAAAGCATACTTTTGAATTACATGAGTGCAGAGAACAGGGGCAAGGAAAAAGTAGTATCCCATTGGTGGGGGTATAACTTTTGGGACTGGCAGCCATATCCTCCACTTACTCAAAAAACTAGTTGTTGAGTAAAGATTTATCCCAGTCACAGGATCTGGATGTTCTAACTGCTGAATTTGGATTTTGCAAATGTAGATTGCTAGAATCTGGAGCACTGGAAGTGATGGTAGTTTGGAAAGGATTGGATATGCCATGTCTGCAATGAGAGAAACATGCTGCACAGATCTGCTGGAACGGGTTCTGGACAACTGCCTTCTCAACCTGAGTTATATATATATATGAACACAAAACAGGCAAGTATTGTCAACCCTGGCAAACTCTTCTTCTAAAGCGAGAAACTCTCCCCACCTCCATTTATCCCCTCCAAGACAGATACTTACCGATGTTGGAATGCTTCAGGAGACGGCAAATTCGAGCTTCTCGCTCCAACTTCTGATGATCTGAAGAAAAATAAAGAGCAAACACTCTTGAGCATGCCATCCAAGTTAGCTTATTCTGAGAGTCTGTCCCTTAGTTCTGGCCAATATCTCAAATGCAGAGGCTAGCATTTCCCTGATATTAGACCCGATCTACACATTACAGATAGTAGTATTCTACTTCACACTGAAGATGGGGGCCATGTTTTTAAATGCCCCCCACTAATTAAACACACACACACACACACACACACACACACAACTCCTTACAGGTTAAAAATAAACATGCCAAAAATAAACATTCTAGCCAGTTGCATAGCATGGGTTGCCAACAAGACCAAGTATTCTGCCGCTCTTTGGCGAAAAAACCTCCAAACACACAAATGCATACTCCATGCATCTCTCCATACAGGGGGTGGGGTTATTAAGAGAGCCAGGCACAAAGTTCCAGTCATGGTGCTTCTCTGACAAAAAGTGCCAAGGGCCTTTTTCTGGTTGCGGTGCTGGGAGGTGGCTGGATGGTGGGGGGAGAGGCGGGTTTAGGAGTTAAGTGGCAACCCACCTCCACAAGAGGATGCGAAAAGAGAAGAGGAAGAAAAAAAGGGGGGGATTCCTTTCCCAAAGATTGTTTCCGAGTTCACTCATCCTATCTAATTTGAACCAAACATGTATGTGACATGTTGTTAAAACATTACAGTATTTGATAAATTAGCCATCTCTTTAAAAGAATACAATTCTACAACTAATACAAAGACATTCCAGATACCATCAGCTTCTATCATGTTGTCCCTTAGCTGTTTTTCCCCCCAACTAAAATGTTGAACTCTTTTTTCATTCAGAGGGGGAAAAGAGCAATGGGATATGGCAGAGGCTTATAGAACTATGAACAGGCTTGAGAAAGCAAAGAAAGATAAATTATTCTCTCACTTCCTTAATGCACTTGTATTCAAGATCATTTAGTTGCTAAAATTCATTGTAGTGAATTCAATAGAAACCAAAGGATATACCTTGGAAAAACACATAGTTAACATGGTTTTTTGCCATGGGATGTTGTGCTGACCATTACTCATTCATCCTCTGAGGCAGAAGCAAGGTGCTACCTTTCTACATAGAAATCTGACTCTAAACTTGTAACAAAACGGCCCTAGTGTGTTAAAACCATCTCTGCAGACAACTGTTTTGACTGGAAGCCTGTAGGTAGGACTTCATTTTTTAATGTTTAAGTGGAAGAAAATGCATGCATATAGAGGATTAACTGAGTTACGCTATGATCATAATTATAATCATCATCAGTATCATTATTATTATTTATGAGTCACCTCTCATTCAAGGCAATTTACTATTGTACAATAAACACAACTAAAAATGGCTTTTAAAATAATATCAAAACAACCTAAAATTGGTTTTAAAACAATACAAATAAAAACCCAAGGCAAAGACCAAAATGTTCATTCATTCATTCATCTGGAAAAGTTTATTGAAACCAAAATATCTTCAAATGTTGCCAGAAACTACAGGTAGTGAGTGCCTTGCATCTCAATAGAGATGATGTTCGCCAAACTATAATGATGAATGAGGTAGTGAAGTTTGGTTATCATGAATCAAGTGGAGCATGACTGAAAGAGCACTCATTTCCCCAGAGGTGGAAAGGGCTGCTTGGGGTCCATCCAACCAGTTATATATCAGTTTTTGAAACTGCACAAACCTAAAAATGACTTATAATTTATAAGGGGTAATGGGGAGAATAAGGGAGGACAAAAAGTAAGTGAAGAGCATGAGAATATAAGGAGTTTTGCTGGACTGAACCAGAGGCCTATGTAGCTCAGCATTCTGCTTTCAGCAACCACACTCTCCTACAAATGGCAAGACTCTTATACATGGTCGTGGCATAAACCTAAGGAACTGTGTTCCATGGTAAGTCACACCACACTCAACGGGGTGCAAAGCAGACAAAACGTAGTCTCTTCTCTTCCTAACCATCTACCAATTTCCTGGCAGAAATTAGCTTAAATGTCCAGGAAAATCCGGACGTATGGCAGCCCATGTCGGCATTGTCGTTTTAGCCAATTTCCCACAGAAATAGCTCCAAAACGTCCAATATCTTTGTGGTTTTGCAAAAATACCCAACAACAACAACAACTTTGCCAGAAACAAAAAAGATCAACTACTTTTCTGTCTGGATTTCTTTTTCACTTTTCGAAAACCCAAACCAATGTGCTTGTTTCGTCTGCCGAACACCCCGTCCTTATTCAAACTTCTGTGAAGAGCCCTGTATTATGACTTCTGCACCAGAGTTGTTTGTATATTTGCATAATTTATTCCAAGGAAGATGGCAGAGCTTCCTTGATGCAGGGAACATGCAGTGCTGTTTATGCCGTTTACCAACCACCTCCTGGTCTGAGTCAGAACTTGGATGAAAACTGCCAGGCCTTGAAGAAAATGGAAAGGCCCACCAAGTGCTTGGCAACAGTTGCCTAACCCTTCCTGCAACCATCCAAGCATCTACCTACGGACTTTTACTCCTTACTCCCCAGCCACATACCAAGCCAACCTCATGCCCAGTATTTTAACAAAGGATGGCAATATGTAGCACCGGCCCTCCGCTGTAAGCAGGTGGTGCTATGTGCTATGTTAAAAAGCAACTCACCAAATCACATAACTGCAAGGAACAAAAAAAGCCACCTAGTCCACACACTCTGGCACAACATTGGGCCAGTAACCACCAGGCTATGCAGATCAGCCAAAGCAATTCAGGATGCCTTCGGCCTTGCCTTCTATACGGAGGGGTCATAGCTTAGTGGAAAACACATGCGGCCTAGGACCCTCGTACCTACGGGACCGCCTCTCCTGGTATGCCCCACGGAGGACCTTAAGGTCCACAAATAACAATACTTTGGAGGTCCCAGGCCGCAAGGTGGTTAGATTGGCCTTTTCCGTACTGGCCCCAACTTGGTGGAACGCTCTGTCACAAGAGACTAGGGACCTGCGGGACTTCACATCTTTCCGCAGGGCCTGCAAGACAGAGCTGTTCCGCCTGGCCTTTGGTTTGGACTCAATCTGACCCTTATGTTTCCCTCCCCTTATGCTTTTGCTTTATGGGCTACTATTAAAATGAGGCTGCGTTTTAAATTGTATTTTAACCCGTATTTTAATAAACTGGTTTGGTTTTGTTGTGTCCCCCCCCCTCGGTTATGTTTTATTATAATTTTATTGTTGTTAGCCACCCTGAGCCCGGTTCTGGCCAGGGAGGGCGGGGTATAAATAAAATATTATTATTATTATTATTATTATTATTATTATTATTATTATTATTATGCTTGCTGTGCAGAAAATCCCAGGTCCAGTCCTGGCTATCAGCTCCCTCCTCCTTAAACTCAGGGTTGCCACTGTGGTGGTCAACAATGAGGAAGATGGGGAAGACAAAGCTAGAATTAGTTAGCTCTGCCTGTCATTAGCTCTCCCCAGCCATCCCTGCACTACTATAGACACCACTAGGCTAGTTGAACAAATATTGTGACCCAGTGTATGGCTGCTTCCTACTGTTCCTGTTTAGAGAAAGAAGAGATTCCTGCATAGAGGAACATCTTAGATTGAGATGCAGCAATTTCACTCCGCTAATTTACACTGAGATCCCGATATCCTATGCATAGACTCCATCTGATACTCATGATGAAATCCCCAAATTTTCAGAACTGGCATTCTGAGTGGCCTATGAAGGAATGTCCAGCAGAGATTTAATGCAAGCCACTCTTCAGCTAAAAAGAAGGGTAGAAAAATACTTTCACACACACAGAGGTAGCATACAAAATGCCTTTCTTGAGAGCTTCAAATATACAGTAATTAAATCCGTGCCAAGCTACTGGAGCTTGCTATCTAGGGAGACCAACCTCATCCCTCTCTCTGCTGATCACTGGTTGCATGTGAGGCCCTTCTTTTTTGACTGACCTCTGGATTGTCAGGTTGTTACTTTCATTTCTCAAGCATGCCAGCTTAAAAAAATAAAAATCTGTTGTTTCTGCCTCCTGTACTGTTTTAATTAATAAATTTTATTGTATCATTCTTTTTATTGTTAGATGGTTTAATTGTTGTCAGCTGACCTGGATTGCCATCCTTACAAAAAACAAATTAATACATAAATAATAATTAAATGCATTGCCTAAATTGCTACAGCTGTGACCTAGTAATCTGTGTGACTCCCTGATCATCCGATACACAAAAGTATAACCCCGACTCATTCATTCATTCTCATCTCATTGCCAACTTTTACTTAATTCTTTGCCTTCCTACGTAATCTGATTGAAAACAGAACACTGTAACAACAGGGTCATAATTATTAAACCTCATTTTCTGTCCACAGTTGTGTACTACCCATCTGTTCTTCAAAATGTTCAGTTATTAATTTTATTTTTAGTTGTAAATCTTTTCCTTAATTTCTTTATTTGTTGTTATTATAGACTGGAGTCCCCAACCTTTTAGGGCTTGGGGTGTATTTGAAAATTTAGGAAGTTGTTTTGGGCACCACAAAATACCCATTTCAACAAAAGAAAAACTGACAAGACTCAGAACTTCCCCCAAAAGGCAAAACCACCAAGCAAAATGAACACAGACAAAAAAGAGAGAGCAGGCAAACCTCTCAGACAAACAAAACTCTTCTTAAAGGGGTGAGGGAGTTTGACAGGCACCATGATGCCCATAGGCATGATGCTGGGAACATTGGTTATATATAATGAAAAAGTAAATACTGATAGGAAACTTTGCCAAAAAAAAAATACCTAGGAAAAATATAATTCATATATCAATAAGCAATCAAAATAAGGTAATCAATAAAAACAAACTTTCCACCTACATTATGGACCTGTCCAATAGTATCACCTGTCCCCCACAACCCTATATGAATTGGGATCCAACTGCATCCACTTGTGAACTTCTCCAACTTCAGTGCCATAGGCAGACACCAAAGCTTTAAAGCTGCACCAAGAAGAAAATAAATCTTATGCCGTTTAACATAAATGACTCCAAAGGGC